CAATGATTCTGATCCTCATGATCGACATGATCAGGCGTTGAACATGGAAGATAAGTTATCATAATGCTATAGTATAAGATAAGAACTCAGGGAACCATGGGAATGCTGTATTTCCCCCAATTTAAGGAAAACCGTTCATTCAAGTGAATAAATGCTAATAACTAATAACATTTTGAAAAATAACACTGAAAAAAGTAAAAAAGAACTAAGAAGAAGAAGAAAGAAGAAACGCAAAAGGTGACGCTGAGGTCACCCATCTACATGTTAGGCAGATGATCGTGGGAGGGAATAGACGGACCCAGCGCTCTGTGTCTATTCCGATCTATCCCTGTGCACTACGTTAACACGTTAACGCTCTAATTATATGTCACTCTCTTTGCTCAATTGCAAGAGTTTTCACGTTCAAGGGTTGTTAGATACCGTTTCGGAAAACCCAATAATCGTGTCTAGTCCGAAGGCACTGCGGCACGGTCTTGTTAAAATGAGGCGACTTTATTCTTATTCTTTCTCTATTTTTTAGTCCACGTCGCTGGTTTAGCGAATACAAGACCCCAAGCTCGATCCTCGACTCGAGCACGTCTAAAAAACATTCTTTTACTTTTTCTTCATTTCTTACTCTTTATCCGATAAGTAGTTGTTCTAGTTATGTTTATTTTTACCTGTAGATGTTTGTTACATTATTATTTACGAGCCGTTTTCGTGTGACGAAAAGCCTTATGGGGCCTCTCGTCACTTTGTCATCGACTTGTAGCAGGCGTTCCTTGCGAGTCCTTGATATGTTTGTTGAAAACTAGAAAATCTCTAGAGAAAAACAAACAAAGTAACAAAAGCAAAGAAAAAGGATAAAAGAAAAAGAAAAAGAAAAGAAAACAAGAGACAAACGAGAGAAAAAAAACAATAAACAAGAAAAAAAGAGAAATTCCAGCAGCAGGACTCGAACTCAGAACTTTCACTTCAGGAGAAATGTAACCCCCCCGGACATAAATAACAAATAATGAAAATAAAATATAAAAAAGATGGGACGATTCCCCCGAGACATTCTATGAAGCTGAGGCGTCGAATCGGCTTACGTTACGGTTTGAGATTTCGGCTCTTCCACGCTATCCCGAGTGAACATAAAACTTAGTCTTAACCAAAAGGCCAGGGAGTGAGGGGGTAGCCGCCCACTAGAGCATACCTHWAGCTAMCCTCTTAGACCATCGTAYTAYGARGACACTTATAGATATCTAATATCTAATGGGGGTAGTCTATTCGGTGAAGTTCAGTGCTAATACATGACGTCACCGAAGTCCTTAGGGAGCAGCTAGCCAATCAGACCCCAGGAATTAGCGAACGATACAGGGTTTTCCTAATCATTCTTCAGTGGATTGATTATTTGATGGGGGAGGGGATGGGTGCTGAGTGCTGGTTTGCGGTCGAATACCGATGTACCAGATGTAATGTGACGTTGTTCAACTGTCGTTATTGTTTTCCAAATCATCATTGAAAAATGCATACAGTTCTTATATCGGACAGCACGACAAAAATCTCTTGACTTCTTTTAACGTAAGCGGTTTACTGACCAGGCAGATACAAGCTGTTGCCAAGGATTTGCTGGGATTCAATGGAATACATGCAGTTGAAGACCCCTGAAACTCCAACATTAAACTCAAACGTTCCATTCGGCGTTCGTTATTGATTATCAAATAATTATTAAATATAAGTATAGTGAATGTTCATAATTGAAGAGGATGAATGATAATCCGTATAAAATTGATAAAGAAAGTGAAGAAAACTTAGCAAGCTTTCGGTTTTATTGCAAAACTATAATCAGGCAAATTAACATGGATGTAAAAATACAGTGTGAATAATATAAATATTTTAAGAAAGCGTTCGACAATGAGTTTATAAGTCAACAGGCTTTGCCCACAGCTAAATTGATTCAAGCTCTGAGGCCGACTCCATGTCGTGGATAAAAATTTCTTTTCCGAATCTTTCAGGCGAGTATGTTTACTGTAGGCAGGGAAACAGGGCGCCCCTCGTAAGGCTCCCACGGGAGGAATAATCAACCAACACAATAGGTTCCTTGCATAATCATATAAGCAACGTGATGATTGATCGCCACTTGTTGTTAGATACAGAATGCGCAGGATGCTAACTGTCTATTAATACTGACTGTATAATCCATTGCTTTTAGACTCACGTTACATAAAAGGACAATTCTAAACGTGGTTGCTTTTCATCTGTACATAGTTGGTATAGTCAGTCTGGAACCACTGAAAACAGGGCCGTCCACCAATTTTCTGTTGGTTTGGTTTTTGGAAAATAGGTGTGCGTATTTATTTACATGAAGTATTGATTCATAATATTCTCGTATAATACAATTGGTACTACTATGATCTCACAAAAGAACTATTGGCAAAGCATTTTGGGGGTTGTATTAAAAGAAACGGCAAAAATTTGTATTGTTTCTATAAACCTCAGAGTTTGAATGTTACGAAGGTGAATTTCTTGTCTAGTTCTGTAGAATGTATTCAGATTTTAAATCTAGATTATCTGTTACACCTCGATGGTAATGCAGTGTACTTCTGAAATATGACTTCATGATGCACCTCAGTGCACTAAGCGATCGCTCAGATGTTGCATTTGGTCATGGCAGAACATTCACTAGGCGACATAACTTGCAAACTTAATCTATAATACCTCATCTCGATGAGAATAAACTAAGAAGGGCAGTCTTAACGTTTTCCGTGTGTTAGGCTTTTTTGCCATGAACAGAGAAATACTGAATTGTTGTTTGAAGCGTAACCAATTGATTTTTTTTAATGCTTTCTTGTCAGATCATCGTAAGCAAAAGTACAATTTACTCTGTAAAGCTCCTCTTTGAAGCACTATACTATCCTTAGCATGCTTTACATAGAAGCTGCTCTAAATTTGCGAAGACTTAAAGCCATTTTGATCGAACTCGAAAGCCGGCACTTTATTTCCGACGCGCCGAATCAAAGTCATGACTTGGAAATCACGTGACACGTATATTCGATCATTTTTTTCTTTTTCGTTTTTTCTTTTTTTTTTTTCATTAGTTTATCTTCAAAAGTCGGTTCGGTTGAAACCGGACCAACCGGTCCAACCGGACAAGTGGCTACGCCCCTGGAAAACTAGTCAAAGAGAAGCGGAGCATCGATTTTTTTTTTCACTTTGCAATGACCAGCAAGATCAATTTTCTTCAAAGAAAAATTTTTGACTGTGTTTTATAAGAAAAACGAAACAAGGCAAAAAAGAAGGGAAATGAGAGGAAAAAAGAAAATCCGAAACAAGAAAAATTGAGGTTAAAGCCCGGGTTCGTGCCCCGGACTGCCGATGTAGCAATGTCATATGCAATTAACCAAGACAATCCGCAGAGAACAAAACCGAACAACACTGAAAAAGAATATAATATTTAAGGAATATAAAACGGAGCGCGTGTCTCTGTCATCGAATATAGTCAATCAGAGCGCGCGTTATATATCAATATAATAAAAATACATAAATACAGCCTTTTGCAAAAATTATGAGAATTGTCTAAATATCTAAATATCATAATATCCATATCCATATATTGTCTGGAACACGAGGGTTTGCTAGAATAATTCATTGTTGACATCGAGAAAATGTTCAGAACTATGGATAAGTCTGTCTCCAAAAAGAAACTAAACTACAAAGACAAGGGACTAAGGGCATCGCGCGGGATTACACATCATGCACTCGATATTATGATATTTAGATATTTTTGCAAAAGGCTGTATACAGCTGTTTGCAATAATTCTGCCCCCCTCTGCCATATTTCATATATATCAAACTGAGCTTTAATATTATGGGATATCATGACTGATATATTTTTTGAGTAGTCCAGAATGAGTACTTTCTAAAGACTCTAAAAAAAATATCAGCAATGGTATCCCATAATTTCTAAGGCTATTTTGATATATATGAATATTAGTGTAGGGGGGTCAGAATTATTGCAAACAGCTGTATATAGAAAAAGAAAATATAGACAAAAAAAATGACAGCCATCCACATGTTACTGGGCAGATTCCCGGCGGATTCTCGTGCATGAAGCGCATCACTATTTCTTTCGAAGTGTTTTGATCAGGTTTTGATATTTGTTTAAAATCCTTAGAGCAAACCTRTAAAACCATATAATTACGTGTATTACCGTCGCAGTGAAAGTAGACGGCTACAACTTGGGTAGCAATGCTGTCAGGCTCTCGTTCCGTTACGCAAGCACGGCTACTTCCGCTTTCAATCGGTGTTATGGCACAATAACTACGTGACCTACGTCACACGGCAAAAACACTCCATGGCAGTGTCTTTTTTAGTGAAGTAATTATTGCAGTGTTATTTGTCGTTATCAGGATATTCACTCTTTCTTCATTTTTAGTGCTAGTTTTAGTTTGATTAGAGTTCATTCAGTTGACGTTTCACAATGAAATTTCAGCAAAACAAAAGGATTTGTTGTCAGCGTTACTGGATTACAGCGTTACTATCATTACGCAATTGCGTGATGATCACACCACAATATCGTACGATTGTTGTTGAAGAGACAACCAGTCACTGACGCGCGATCTCTTAAGTGAGTTGTCGATTCACGGAAAGGCAAAAAAACAATCTAGATCGAAACCAAGGCACGTTTAACGTAAATCTTCCAGGATCGAAAGCAGTTGTAGACTTTGATATAGTAGGATTGTTTTTAAAATGACACCGGGAGTGACAGGTTCAATAAAGTAGTACCAGGGATTTCGATAGTATATTTCTACGAACTAATATGGAAGACATCAACGACTAACCACAGTGTAGGTGCAGCTGTAGACATAGAATGACGAACATATCAGCAGTGAAGATGAGCTTCAAAAAGGCAAAGTCCAGAGTCAGAAAAATCAAGCAAAGCTCAAGGTAAGAGTGGTGCGCGCGCGGTGACGTTCGATCGGCGTCCACGACTCGAGACAGGTTGTATTGCTTGCAGGGGTTCCTTGGTAGATGTATTGTATTTAATACCATATAAAAATGCTATCTTCTTTATAAAGATTATTTCAAGAAATGTATAATGTTGGTTCGTCGTTGATTGATATGGTTTTTATGTGTTTTCCTGAGTTTTCCTTTTTTTAAAGAGGAACAGTGTTCATTCGCTGCTACACCCCAACAGTCGTCCATGGTATTGCTATCTACTTTATTTTGTGATATTGTAACGTTACCTCTAGTGCTTATCTTTTTTAAAATAATACGAAAAAAAATGCGAAAGTAAATTTTCAAGATCAGAGTTGTCAGACGGAGTTTCCGCGTGATTTTTGACACGCATTTTTACCGAAACAAACACGTAACTTTTGTATAARTTGAGCACTATGAAAAATTATTCTTCAACATTACATTTGTGTGATATTTATTTTTATATATGAAACTATCCTGCGATCGACTGATTTACATATACAAGAAAAAAATACCGGAAGTTGTTGAGCAAAACAATGAAAAAGTACGTCAAACTCGAAAACGGAATTCACTTGTGAAATCCATGAAATTTGATATAATGAAAGTGACGTCGACACATGAGCGAGTTTCCTGAAGCACAAAACTAGATTTTTACTGAGCCTAGCGGCGAAGTCAACTGTATGTAGAGATTCAAAATTATTGCCAGACTAGCCTGACTGCACACAGACTATGCCATACAGACAAACAAATTTCAAAAAAAAAAAGGAAACTTCCAAACAACTATAAATACCTATGAAAACAGTTCCATCATAATATAAACTTCCTGAGTTTGACTGACCAGAACAGAACAGCTGAGTGGAGTGTCCCGAATTTTCCTTTATTATTTTTCTTTGAAAAACTTGTCTGTGGTCTCGTTGAAAAAAAAAAAAGAATGCGGAATAAGCGCAGAGAAGATAAAAATACACCAGATCTGACTGATCGAGTGAGTGAAGATTACGTAATGCTTAGCCGGTCTTCCTGTGGTCGCGCGTAGAATGAGATCGAGAAGATTAAAAGATAAAAATGGCGAAATTATTATGCAAGTGAATTCAAACAATATATTATAAGGCAAAAAATTATTATTGACCGAAAAAGTTAGAACAAGTCTTCACTGAAGATTCCCCAAATGGATGCTGGTTCAGGAAATAATGAAAAAGACGAACCAAAACATGAATCTGAGGACAAGGAAAGGCTGAACACCGTGGACCTTGATTCAGCCTCACGACCAACTAGTTTATCCCTCAGTAATCATGACAAAAAAGACAGTGATAGTAACGAATCAACGAGGTGGGAGTGTGCTTAAGTTTCCGAGAATAATTTTTTATTGTTTGGTGCTTAAACTTGAGTCAATGAGGAATTGTTTTGTGATATTTCTCGTCATGTATTACAGGAAGGCGTCCTCTCCGTCTCAAGAAGATGATGTCTCACTCACGGATTCTGATAGGTATTGACAAGAGTTTTACTTTTTTTTGCTTTACCACGGGTCTATCCGTTTGTTTTTATATAAGCTTATGAGTTTAATCGTAGAATTATAGAATTCCATTTATATCAAAACTATCACCCCCAGGAAGGATGAGTCATGGACTCACTTCAGAGATTTTATAATATCTTAAAGTTTAAGTCCTGGATTTGCTTTGAACGATGAAAGCTAGTTTAATGATAACTGTATGAACTGTATTTTTTAAATTCAAGGTTAAGTTTGGATTCCAAGGAAGTTGAAGACATTGATCGAAAATCTGAAAAAAGGTATGTTTTGTGAAGGGTACATTTATCATAAAGGTAATTAAAGTTGTTATCATTCATCCAAAAGTTAATCCAAGGGATTACGCTATTGCAGTGTGTAGCTCTTGATCTGCATTTTAAATTTGATGCGAGTGAACACAATATTGAAGTAGGCAGCTTTCAGTTTTATCTAGAGTTTGATCCAATCTTATATTGTATTTTTACTTGTGCCATGCCCATGCAGATTTAAAGCTCAATTTCCCCTTTACCCTAATCTTGCACATTAAAAATTCTAAACATTCATTGTACAAAAAATTCTATTTCATTCATCTAATGCAAATAAGATATGCAGAAATTGATTTTTTGAATTCTAATATGCCATAGTAAGCCAGCTGTTGGCATATATGTGCTAAAAACTCTCTTTTTTTAAAAAAAGAAATTTTAAAATCATGTAAATTATTAACTACCAAAATAAAGCCACACAATTGTATAACTTTTATGCAAAACTATGACCACAAGTGTTCCATTAAATGTAAAGTCCAGATTTTGTGAATTTGTGATTAAATGATTTGTTTAAATGATGGAGCATCCACTGAAAAATAAAATAAATATTCAGGAAAGCTAAGAAATTAAAGATAACCTTAGTAAATATTTTATTTCATTAGATATACCATATTAGTTCAAATTCATCTGTTCTTGTTATGATTTTAAATTTTATTATCATAATATTGTGTCGTCAAGCTGTTTTCATATCTTTCTTTATAATATGTAAAGATTTTACTCACTTTACTACTTACAATTATTTTTTTGTGATATTTATTAAGTAGAAAGTAAAGATTTTTTCCCTTCTTTCCCAATTATACTATCTTGTCCTCACAGTTTTTATTATATATCTAGTTCCTCATCTTTGAATTCATTGCCTGATATTATAAACTACTTTCAAGATTCAGTTTTGATTTTACAGTATACATGTACACAGTTTTTCATGTATTTACCATTTATGATTCATCCATGACTCTAGCTATTAGTTTTATTCATCCATTTATTTATTAAAACTTATTCTTTTCTTTTTGAAATCTATCTATTTTTTTATTTATGTAACTTGTCACCATTTTGAAACAGCAAAGCTGTCAGCGTAGGAGACAATCATTAGTGGTTGTGACTATGTGATAGGGTTGCAATCCGTGACATATGTAGTATGACGTGAGCGATCCCGCAATGCGTCAATCGTTTTGAAATAAATTTAGTTTTGTTTTGGCCAGTGTACTGGCAAGTACGTCGAGCAGACCTGTAAAGCAAATTTGTCTTTTTTTTTGTTTGTTAATTTTTAACATCGTACGTTCCAAAACATTCTAAAAGACGATCAAGAATTAGTTCACTTGGTCACAACTATAAACATTAATCTATCTATCAATCTCTTCTTGAACTGGCTACAGTTATGGGTGTTTCAAAATCTCTCAAAGTGCTAACAGGAAGCCCTAGCATTTTTCCAGCTTGTTTTTTGTGTTTTTGAAACTCTAAGAGTTTTATTGATATGGGTTCTAAAAATGAATGGACATGCATGTCAGTTATCTAGTGAGCAATAATTGTCAGGAAGTAACCAGTCAAGAAATGCTAAATATTCATGATGGACTCTTGTCTTTCGTACTGATGTTTCCTAAAAGCACATTGTCAAAAATTAAGCCATTTGTGTCTGAAAACACTTGAACTGTGTTGCATCTTTTTGAAGAATGGTAACTGAAAATTTAAAAATGTATTATAAGTTCATTATCATGATTAAATTTCAAATCTGTTTTATGGAATCTACTATGTCAAATAAACCTAAAAAGCTGTTTATATTGTTATAAAATTGTTACCTTGGCGATAAAATAACCAAAGTACTGTCCATGGTAGTGTCAACTCCCAGCTGATCTTCACGTAATGGGGAGTTAAGCAATATCATGAATTTACTGTAGTATAGTTATATTTGTTAGAATCAAATTAAAACTCTTCTATATTACTGTAGTAAATGGATAGAGCGGATTTTCGTATGAGTGGGACACTGTTACCACACGGTTACCGCACAGTTACCGTACCTGGCCTGCACAATTTTGGTGAACCAATGGGGCACTAGAATTTGGTTACAGTACGATTATAGTCACAGTACAGTAAAGTCCGTTTCCCACTCATTAGAAATCCACTCTATTACTGACAGTATTTTTGAAAGCAGTACAAAATCAGTGTACAATAGTATTATCAGTGCAGGTGGTACTGAAAGGCCTGGTGTTTTATATATAGTGAAGCAGATATCATCTTATATAACATTAGCAAAAACTCTCAGAAAGCACGCCTGCATTTTGTAACCTTGAAATTCATAAATGAAAGAATCCAGCAAAGGAACAGTCTCAAAGACAGACTGCAAGGCACTTTGGTAAACTTATGTCAAACAATTTATTAATTATAATTATTGTTTATGTGTTAATTGGTTGGATGTAGCATTTTTGTAGCATAATTTTAATGTTAGTAATATTAATCTAGCTGTTAGATCAAACTGTGTTACAGATATTCATTTGCATCTTTAGTTAACTGGCCTATTTGAGTTTAAATTAATAATTGCTCTATGACATTGCACTATTAAAGAGCAAATAAAGACAGGATTTTGTATTATTAACAGTTTGTCRTATAAATTTAGAGCTTCAGAAAATCTTTTCACAGATATTTTAGTATAAACAATCTGACAAGTTACAAGGCTTCTGTAAATACAGTGGTAACAGTGGTAGAGTACAAGATAAAAACTGATCTAAAATGTAAAATGGTACTATACTAAACGTTTTGACGTAGGGTAAATGTCCAAAACTATGAGGTGCATTTCATAGAACTGCGTTTGTAGCTAACAAGTCATGGCAACACACTGATGGTGCATAATTAATTAAGACACCATATCAACTTTATCAATGGAGTTATAACCATACATTGGTCATATGTTCACTTTAATACATTGTGAATAAACAGCTAGCCAAATTTAAATCCCTAGACATAYATGAAACAATAAATTTAGCTATTTCTTACTTTCAGTGTGTCATCTAGTGCAAGCTCAAACTGGAAATCAAGAATACGAGATTTAAGCCCGTCACGAAGATCTCCCAGTCCAAAACCYGACAGAAAAAGCAAAGCCAAAAGTCCATCAAAATCTGTAAGGGACATTGTTATGTCATGTCAAAATGAACATTGTTACTGAAAATATTCCAACTTTTTTTATCAGAAATCCCCAGCAGGATGGCTACCAGCGTCATTCAATCAGGTACTGCTTCTTATTCTTCATTGTATCTAGTCTGTATTTTCTATAATTTATCATAATTAATTAATTGTTAAATCATCTGAACAGATTGAGTTTTTAACAATTATTTGCCGTAGCTTTTATGTGAAAGCTGAATATATAATATGTCTTTTTACCATACATTCTCACTAGTGACATGACACATGACACATTTCTACCGACAGATGTTCTCCAGTTACAAGAGTCGTTCAGGGGATTTTAGAAGATTGTTTAAAGATTTGCCAGATAGTGAACAACTTATTGTTGGTAAGAAGTTGATTTTAGGGTTGTTTGTGAAGATATGTGTGGTAACCKTCAACTGTTCAATTTCTGTGGAAGAATCAGGATTTTCAAAACTGAGTCCAGATTGTCTACTATTTTGCTATATGAGTGTCTTTTGTTTGATATGTTTTACCTTATTTAAWAGACGGTTGTAGTGAACTCCTTACAGCCACCGAATTTATCATTAATACTAATAGAATACTAAATGTTAATGGTAAAATGAGGGTAAGAATYTATCTGTGGAGTATTTGCTGATTTAATTCTTTGATGTTCATCTAGATTATTCATGTGCACTTCAGAGGGATATCCTGGTCCATGGAAGGCTCTATATCTCACAGAACTGGTTGTGTTTTTATGCAAATATATTTGGATGGGAAACATTTGTAAGTGTTTTTTTGTACAAGTCAAGAGGTAGATGTGTTTGCATGATGTTTGGTCGCGTCTATGAAACATTCATTATTACTGTTACTTCATAACTTTTTTTTCATTTTAGGTTACAATTAATTGTTCAGATATTTCAAGCATAAGAAAAGAGAAAACAGCTTTGGTGATTCCTAATGCTGTCCAAATTAACACTGAATCAGAGAAGGTAACTTGTTGTATACTATACTTATTTTGTATACTACTTTATGATTTTTTATTTCCCATCAATACTTTTTTCATTTTAATTCTCATTCTATTTTTTTATATTTTCAGTATTTCTTTGCATCTTTTGTATCAAGAGACACAGCTTTTACTGTCCTATTTAGAATTTGGCARAATGCACTTCTAGATCAGGTATTCTATAGTGAAGTTTTCTTCTTGACAAGTGGAAAGTCAGTGGTTCATAATGACTGGARCATCAATTTGAATAAATGTTATCCATAGAAATAAATATAATTATAGAAGAATGAAGACTGATAAAACACTCTAGATTAACAATTCCAATAAAAGTAACTATAGCAGCAATAACAGAATGTGTGTCACTAATGACAGTCAAGCAACTAATGGCGATTTAAATTTATAAATTTACAAGCAATTCCAAGTGATATTCTTGCTTGATTTCAGCCATTAACGCCATCAGAGTTAATTCACATGGTAGGAAAGTATGTAGAATCCAGCAAGGAAGATTCAGACTCTGACAAAGACAGCCAAACTCATAGCAATGAAGACTCCGACATGTCAGATGCTGAGGAAGATAACACAGAAGAAGACAATGACTTTGAGTTTGTTTCRAATGACCTGCAGTCTGACAGTAAACATAATATTGTAGCTCCTAGCGCATTCAAGGTATTTAAATTAATCTATCCTGAAATTGTAGCCATAGTTACAGTGTAAATAACTGTGATTAAATTGTCTTCTTGGCACATGATTTCAGAACAATTATATTGTTATTCACAGATGTTTCAAATTTGTGCTCAGATTGAAACTTCTGTGAACAAAATATTTGTTTCAACAGGCAATATGCAACATAGCTATGTACTAAATATAATGTACAATATTAAAGGTATTATTTATGGTTTTAGCCTGTAAATGGTGAACAGTTACATGTAAATGCTGCYCCAGAATTATCGGTTACTCCACCTTCACCAACACAAGTCAAATTAAATGAAGACAAAGGAAAGTCATCCTCTAGTGAAAAAATTTCACGCTCCACACCTAAATTAAAGAAGAGGAAACATTCACCATCAACAGCTAGTAGAAGTCCAGATATCAAGTCGCTACTGCTTGGGGTAAAGAAGGATAAAGACAAGGTATCTGATGGAGAAGACGTAAAGAATCTWGCAAAGGAAAGCAGTGAGATGGAAGAAGAAGGGACAGTATCTGAGTTTGCTGATGACAGGGAAAGTCAACAAGGTAATTAATCTGATGGATGTATATGTTTGCTAAGGTCTRCGAAGYRATGGGATGTTTTTGAAGTAACCCTAAACAATTTTCTTTGTTTTAGAACCACATTCCTGTCTGTGTGAAAAGCATCTGGCACTAGATATGTTAAATGAGGTAATTCTTAACGCAATTCCTGATTTATACRTGAAAATATGGTCGTACCATTCATAACAAGAGTGAATTCCCATGCCATTGTACCCTATAAATGGTTGCAAGAATATTATCATTTAATATTAGATTATTATAGGGAAGCAAATTGATCACCCAAACTGAGCTCTTTCTTTTAAGTCTAGCAGTGATTACTTTCTTACTAAATACCTTTTAATACCTTTTTTTATTTTTAAAAAAATTTACTTTATCAATGTGTGTTTGTTTCTATAGGAGTACCCTGTATCAGTGGACAGAATGTATGAGATGTTGTTTACCGAATCAGACTTTTAYAAAAAGGTGCAAAAACAACGTAAAACACGTGACYTGGTATTTCATCCCTGGTCAAAAACTGAAAATGGTCAAYTGAGAACCATTACTTATACCGTAGCACTAAATTATTCTATTGGACCCAAGTCATCRCCGACCACTGAAATACAGGTAATTAAAAGTTCTTTAATCTGGTTCTATGCAAGAGTTCTACATGTGCATGATGTTTAGTTGGTGAATTTGTCAAATCCATGGTATGTTTGTCAGTTGATTAGTATTGAATTACTGGTTATTGTTGGCCAGTAGGTCGTAAAGAAATATGTTGCATGGTTTGGTTGGTCAGTATTGAATTGTGAGGGCAGTTAGATAAGAGACCYCTTGCTTGTGAAGCAAAGCAGTCAGCATCTGATGGGCAAAACAATAGTTTCAGAACTAGAATACATTGTTAACTTACCTAGATGGAGCTGCATTCTCTTGAAAGGTAGCCAGGGGATCTGTAGTTTTGCTGTTGAGTCACTTTATTTTTAGCTGAAATTTTTTGAATAGATTTGGATTCATTATTTTCAACATTTTTTTGTAGCACTGTGAAAAGGGTAGCATTCCAGGAAGACTTTACATGGTACAGACTGAAGTAAGTTTCCAGACAAAACTTCAATCATACACTGTAACTTGTAATGCATCTTTATTTGGTCACATTATAAAATGTTTCTCTCATTCATGCAGTAGGTGTACAATAAATAACTTTGTTTCCAAATGAAGAGCTTAGAATTTTCTATAAAACTGAGTAACTTTGATCAATTGATTCCTTTCAGGTGAATAACGAAGGAATTCCTTATGGCGATAGTTTTTGTGTTGTTAATAAATTTTGTATGACCAAGTGTTCAGACACTATTTGTAGATTACGGTAAGTYGACGTGACAGTTCAATCTGATAAGCATYRTGATGTTGATGATGATGATTGGYACTATCATAGTGTCATCATGATTATGTGGAACACCTTTAGATACTTCAACATCGTATCTGCTTCATGTTAAAAATCAACATTCTTCTCAATATTTCGATTACTTTTCAGCGTAACAAGTGAAATAAAATATAAAAAATCTGTCTGGGGATTTGTAAGAAGTAAGTTCAATCAAATTGTTTATTTTGTTCATCGTTCTATAGCTTCTCTCATCTTTTCCTCATCAATCAATCATTTATGATTACTGAAGAAATTATTTGAGGTAATAGTTTCAATTTGCTGTCTCTCTTCAGATATGGTTGACAAAAATGCATCAGATGGTCTTAGAGAATACTTCACATTCTTAGGTACTTACTGATGTAGTATTGTGAATATTATTAAGTAAATGTTATGTACTGATTAAAATCCACTGATTGCTACAGGTACTTGCCTAAGAAAGGAAACAGATGACAAGAGACATGCTAAGAGACGAAGGTCATCCCCATCTGCACGAAGGGGTCATCGACGTAACCGTAGCATTAAGTCAAGAGAAGAAATCAATGCCTCGTCAAGCACTACTTCAACATTGGCTGGTAAACATTCTTCAGTTTTATTATTGTTTGGAATGGGATTCTGATAATAAATTGTTCTCATTGTAGATAAGACTGGCTATGTTGCACCATTATGGCAGAGGACATTCTCTAGCTTAATGTCATTTAGGTATGTTATTATTCCAGTGCAGTATGATACAGTATGTTMATGTATGCTCAAATCTTGTAAATTCCATATGTGTGATTCTCTCAAGCACTTTCAATTGGTTAAAATTTGGCAGCATTWGATTGATCAGCAATAGCTACTTAATTCATTGTTTTACCATTTAGAATTATTTAGCAACTAGTGTTTCCACGATTTCTGTTCATGCCTCATGTGGTTTATTTGTATTTTCAGCAGGTCAAGCATGCCAACAATTGGAACTGAAAGCAAATTTGCTTTTGGAATCGCTATGCTGTAAGTCACATTTATGAATACTGCCATTTTTGGCATTTACAAAGCAAAAGGAAAGATTTGCTTGCACTGTTAAAATAGGAAACAAAGGCTGGTTTTCCTTTTTCTTTGCAAAAACAGAAGTACTAAGTTGTAGTGTTTACCAATATTATGCTTTTTTTAAATTTACTTAAGTTATGTTTTCTATTCATCTTTGCAATTCAAAAACAAAATGTGATTTGCCCTTTTCAGGTTGATGTGTTTACTGATGTTGAACTTATTTCTTACGTATCGTCTGCTCGCTTTGGAACGAGGTGCTCAGCTACGGCATGACTGGACTGTAAAYATAGAGTAAGTATTCTCAGGAGCAGAACCAGTGATTTTACAAAGGAGGGGACATAAAAATTATTTTTTCATTTGACCACCACAGGCAAAATTTTGAGTTTTAGATCCACGGAAACGTGATTTCCAGCATTTTGCTGGAGTTTGACAGGTTTTTTTTTTACTTCCGTTTTGCTTTCCTCTTTTTGTCCACTTTTCATTCTGCAAAAAGTTGGGGGGGGGGGGGGGGAGCAGCCTCTCCCTAAATCTGCACATGATTCTCATTTCCAACAATGTCATTTTATAAAATAATTATAGGTAGTGATGATGTTAGCAGTGTTGAGTATTAAAGTGACAAAGGAATRTATCTTTCTTACAGAAGTCTTCCCACAGACGCTAAGGAGTGGGCGCAGTTGTTACAACAACAAAAAGACATACATGATAAAGAGATGGAAAGGTGGGTGTGAAAATGTGTCTCCTACTCTACTGAAGACTCCTTTATAAAAGGGTCTCCTACCTTTCAGGATTGTGATAAAGTTTAGCTGCATCATGATTGCTAGTAAATTTATAACATTTCTTTTCCTCTTTTCCRAAGATGGAAAGCAGTGCTTTCAACATCTATTAAACTTATGAATCAGGTATGTTTCCAGGTAATAATATTGTTAGTTTTGATGATGTAGGAAGTCATTATAGAGCAAGAGAATATATCCTACTGAGACAAAGCATTCTTTGAAATGCTTTATAAACTGTTTAAATTTCCAAGGGTAGAGAGGTTGAGTATCAATATCAAAGGAAGAATTTTTAGGGAAACAAACAGTAGGGTTGGGATATTTTGTGTGCTTTGCATCTGAAACAAAAAGCCATTTTTATCATTGTTGCATGGCACTTAAATTATAAATCTTTTTCTTTGGTTGTTTTTAGGTCCAAGATTCTCTTGCAGAGYTGAAGAAAGAACTGCATTAGAAGATTATTTTTATTTTTGAAATCCATTCGTGTGTACATGTAACTATTAGGGTTTCAATTTCGTTGGGTGATGGGAACAATTACAATATCTTAGTACTAGAACGATATGGTATGCCATTCGCTGGACGAATTGGATGCTGCAGGGTACTGTACTTAGATGATTACTAATGCCTTGAAGGCAAGATATTGATTTTTCTAATTGGTTATAAGTTATTATTGAGAGATGACAACAATAAATTTGGAAATAATATATAGTGTACATAAGTTGAAAGTAAAATATCATTGAATTGGAGTCATTACACTTATCCTGTGAAACACCCAAGTGCTGTAATACTTCATAATTAAAAACAATTATCAAAACAGTGGTTTTCACTAATGTCTTATTTTCACAAATAACTGAGCTCTATGTATAGTGCAGTCTTGATTCCTATTAAGTGTACTATTGAGTCAAAAGTTGCTAATGGATAATCATCAGATAAGATTAAAAAGAACTTTTTCAAAAATTTTGTGAAAATCAGTTAAAAAGTGAACAAGTTACAGCCTTTCATATTTACTAGAATATAGGATGCTACCAATGCCCATTTTCAGGACACAATGGCTGGAACCGTGCGAACCCATACATTTAAAATTTTAGCTACCAATAAAAACACTTTGAAATCTGCCATATTGTTAAAACATACAGAAGTGGTGAATATGTAAAGGGAACTGGAAGTCTGAAAAAAGGAGTCTGTGAAAGAGACCAATATATTGTGAAAGATCACATTTGCACTTATAAACCTACAATATTAKAATTTCTGAATTTGAAATTTCATACACATTCAAAAAGCTGTGATAGTCATAGGATGGRACAATAGTCAACTTTAGATATTTTGGTTCGATACTGTACAAAAGATCGCAGAGGAGGCTTTGGGAAATCAATGGACAATTTTGATTTATTCTTTTATTTCCCTGGAGTCTTGTCTGCAATTCTTTTGTGCATGGTCACTGAACCAAAATATCTAAAGTTGGCTATTGGACTTTCCGAAATTCAAGGGGAGACTTGGGAACAAGTGTGAAGATCGCCCTTCACTTAATGAAAATTGAACCTCGGCATGTAGAAGACCATAAAATGCTATATTCTTCTCTTTAAATCAGTTCCTTGATTTTTTCAATCTGCATTATGTTTGTGACTAAGGCACCAGTTTCTTTTTTTTAATTTCGGATTGGCCAATTGAAAGAAAAATATGCAAAAATAATAAATACGCAATAAATACGCAAGGTTAAGAAACCATCATGATAACTGTTACATGAAATATACTTAGATGATTTGTGAAGCAAAGTCAGGTTACTGTTTAAATTGTTTATTCTCGATATGCCAGATTAGCATAGTACACTATTGTTTACACCATACAATAATTAAATCATCCAAAAGACCTYGATGACCTCAAAGGATATAGTATCAATATCATACTGTTGGATTAGTTTTATGTGCCCAACAACTGCCATTTGTTAACAACTCCCTYTCACACGAAATCAAAGTTTACAATGGATTTCAAGGTCTGAWTYGAACTTCAACTAGTGAATGTTGGACTATTACTGTTGTTAAATATTTTGAATTTGGTTGGTCTGGTAAGTTTAACCCTTCTTTGAAGCAATTTTCTCTGGATTGATTGTGATACTCTTACTGCAATCAAAGGTYTTGTAGACTCCTACCAAATGATTTGCTAACTCAAACATGTTGCTACGAAGACTGATGATAAGGAAYTGTGCATTCAAAGTCATTTCCTGGAAAAATAATAAGAAATTTACAGGAATTTGATGTACAAAATTAGAAACAACACTTTAAAAACTGAGTAACAAGATTTTAATTAAAACTACTGACCGAGAATTGAATGGGGGAGAGCAATGAAAACAAACACAGAAAAGAAATAAATCACCCGAAGACAATTTGTCCAGAAATATAAAAAAGTAACCAGAAGGTAAGCTAAAATTTGATCAATAAATACCTTGATGTAATGAGCAACAATAGATACGTTTTTAAAGTCAAGAGCCGCATCGATCTCATCCATGACATATAGAGGGGTTGGCCTGTATCTRTGTAAAGCAAATACCTGTAAAAGAGATATATATTATTATTAGCACTTGAAATATATTGCAAAATAGAAAAGGATGTAGCAAAATATACAAAGTATTCAAGCTTTCAGTTTTGCTTTGAAATTTTGTTTGAATTTGAAGAAATCAATTGTTGATAGTTAGGGGTTGATAATGGAGCCAGGGTGTAACAAGTGACAGAAGATTATCAATGACATGACATTAAGCATTTTACTTACCAGTGCAAGAGAACTCAGGGTTTTCTCCCCTCCTGAAAGATTTGAGATGTTTTTCCATGTCTTGTCCTTTGGGCGGACACTGTAATTCAAGTAGAAAAAAAATCAATTTTATTCAGTATTTTGTCATTAAGCAATTCAAGATTAATTAATCATTATCAAAATTTACATCTGTCATCATCMATCTCCTTAATAACATCAGAGCTGTTGATTATGATTATTACCATTACAATCACCACCAACGTCTTCCTTACCTGAACACAATGCCTTCTGAGAATGGATCCAGACTATCAACCAGCTCCAACTCAGCATCCCCTCCTAAGGTAATCATCTGTTGAAGAGAAATAATACCATTCACTGA